AAAGTATTTAACTTCAAGTTACGCTCTTAGCCCATTTTCGGGGAAAGTGCAGAGTAGTTGACATTTTAAACAATTTCCTATCAAAATCAAAATGTACAAGGAAAATTAAGGTCCTAGTTAATATCAATTAAATAGTAGTAATTGTGCAAAGCGTTCGATATCGACAGCGTTAAGTATTTACATAGCAGACTGAAAATACTTCGGTTTAAATACCAACTTTACAAAAACCAGTCTGCACTTACCCCACTTCACCTTATAACAGAGGTGCACGCATCTTCTCATTAAAATCGGGCGCCATTAAATCGCCAGCAATCCATTATAATTACGACGATTATTCAAGGCAACCTCGTCGTCTAATTATCGCGAGCACATCTATTTCCGTCTATTTTTTTTTCTCGCACTTGCGTGTACACGAAGTTTCGCGTCGTTGCAGCAATATCGATCAGTCGGCGTGTATTTCTTGTTGTTCATGCTCCTTTTTCCCCGCAACCTAACCCGTGCACACATCTTTGTCTCCCTTTTTTTTCCTTTTTAATTAATACACTGCACTACGACGAACGGGAACGGCATTACCGTTTGAAAATTACCTCCAGCCACGTCGTTTACGATTTCGAGCAGAATTTTTCCCTGAAATTGCAGCTCGTTTCGATGCTCTTGGACGGAATTACGTGAGTGTATCATACGGTTGATATATCGCTAAAACAGTTTTACCGTTCCATCAAAATTTCCGTGACATCGTTTCACTTCAAACTTTGTATCGTTGGATCAGCCCGAAAAATTCATGCATACTTTCGTTCGCGTTTCCATTAATTTTAATTGCGCTCGCAATGTTATTTCACCCTTTTTTCCTCGTGGATAAGTAAATATGAGGGAGAGAGAATTTTATTCGCTGCATTAACCTAATGTTTTTTACTTAAATAGTGTGGTCTGCAAATTTTATACGCGGAACTGCACTTTATATTAAGTAAGGTTTTATAATTTTATCATTTTTACATTTGCGTTAATGCGTTCTTTATGTTAAAGTAATAATAAACGTAATTTAGTAATTGAACTTGATGATAATCAATAAGAGAGATTTAATAATATCAATTAATAACGTGAACTTAATAAAAGAATTGACTTAAAAGTTTATGATTAATTAATACTGCAAATATAATGATAATAATTGTTCAGTACTATGAATATATAATAATAATGAACCAATAGTAATATAATAATGTTAATAAATCAACGCTACAAAAATAATGATAATAACCAATCAATACAGAAAATCTAATAACTATAATCAATCAATATAACAAATAACAATAATCAATCAATGAATAATAAGGATCTTGATATTAGTAAATCAATAAAAAAGTACAAAATCTATCGACACACCAAACATAACAATAATCAATCAATAATAAGAGACTTGATATTAGTAAACAATCAATCAATTTAATAAACATAATAATTATCAATCAATCAATAATAAGAATCTTGATATTAGTAAATCGATAAAAAAGTACAAAATCAATCGACACATTAAACATAACAATAATCAATAAATAATAAGAGACTTGATATTAGTAAATAATCAATCAATTTAATAAACATAATAATTATCAATCAATCAATAATAAGGATCTTGATATTAGTAAATCAATAAAATAGTACAAAATCAATCAATCGATACACCAAACATAGCAATAATCAATCAATAATAAGAGACTTGATATTAGTAAACAATTAATCAATTTAGTAAACATAATTATTATCAATCAATCAATAATAAGAATCTTGATATTAGTAAATCAATAAAATAGTACAAAATCAATCAATCGATACACCAAACATAGCAATAATCAATCAATAATAAGAGACTTGATATTAGTAAACAATTAATCAATTTAGTAAACATAATTATTATCAATCAATCAATAATAAGAATCTTGATATTAGTAAATCAATAAAAAAAGTACAAAATCAATCGACACACCAAACATAACAATAATCAATCAATAATAAGAAACTTGATATTAGTAAACAATCAATCAATTTAATAAACATAATAATTATCAATCAATAATAAGAGACTTGATATTAGTAAACAATCAATCAATTTAATAAACATAAAAATTATCAATCAATCAATAATAATAGACTCGATATTAGAAAATCGATGAAGAACAACATAATCAATAAATTTAGATCGATAAAGACATCGATAAAGAAGAATATAAAGAGCAAT